TCCCCTTAATCGTTTTTACGACGAAATTTCGTGTTTTATATCCCGATCGGGATACTACTTTTTTTCTATATCCTGATCGAGATATAGCTATATCCCAATCGGGATATATATCCCGATCAGGATATAGAAGGTGTCCCCTTACTGCAAGGTGCCCTAGTGTAAATTCAAATTTTAAGCTGTCCTATAGAGGAATTTGAAACACACCTAGAAGATAATGTTACACAAGTTATTTTAATTTTTGCTGCAGGAGAAATTAAAATATACTACCATATCCGTCGGAAATGCATAATATCGTCGAAAGGAAAAACAGAAAAAAATAGATAGATAGATTGATATTTAGAAAGAACTACTGGTATTTTTATGATAATAGAAAGATACCATTAGCATTTTCATGCTTTTGTGGCTTTCGGACCGATATAGTAGTAAATTTTAATTTCTCTTACGTAAAAATTAAAATAACTTGTCAACATTATCTTCTAGGAGAGTTTAAAATTGCGAATAATCAAAAGAAAAAAAGCTATCAGGAACCAAAATTTCGTTCGATCGCAAAAGGAGAGAATGACAACATTTAGTACATTATGAACACATAAGCTAAGTGTACAACGTCAGAACGAATATCTGCAGATCTGTCTGATTATTTTTGTTCAATAACAAATTTTAAATTATCTGTCATTCCAAATCTTAATCCACTGTGACTTTTTTGTCGATGAAATTTGAGTTCAATACCAATCGCTAACGTATCATTCGGGACTGTTCCATTGTATGAACAAAATAAAATTGCAGTTTTATTTTGTAGATCAACATTTGTCACTGGACCTAAGAAGAGTAGATAATGAAAACAATAAACATTTAGAGATGAAAAGAAAAAATAATGTGTACTAACCAACGATGATATATTCAGTTTTATTTCTCGTATTCTTGAATCCAATTTTCATTGATGCTGAACTTTGTTCATCTTCAAAACCACCCAAATAAGCACTGGCATGATACCTTGCTTGACGTGAATTAATTAAAATTGATAATTGTTTAACATTTATTTCTTGTCGAATTGTATTTTCATTTGAATTGGAGGAGTCTGAATATTGATTACCACCGAAAAAGAAACACAAATGCCAATCAGTGGTATAATTTGTAATATACATTTTCAAATCGTTGTTGTTGTAATATATCTGTATAACACCACCATGACGTGACCAGCCTTGTAGTGCAGCTGTTATTGAACTTTGATTCGAATGGTAGCACTGACCTTGTTCTGCATCACCATTTTTAATCAAATTCGTTCCGAATGGCATAAATGATGTTTTGAATGTGCCATTAGGTAAAAATGAATTCGATATTCGAATTATTCATTCACTAGTAATACCCAAATTTGAACCAATCAAATTGACATGACTAAACTGAATAATTCCAAAGTCGGAAATGTCATTGAATTGTGATTGTTGAAGATCGACGTTTTCAAAAACGACATTTTTCAAAGAACATTTTTCAAATACTGCGTCGATCATATTGCACTGAATGAATTTTCCGTCAAGTAGTTTAACACCGAAAAATTTCGACATTTTCATATTTAAATTACTGAATATTGTTCCAGACGAAAATTTCAAATCTAAAAATTTTATTCGTTCGACATATGCTCGATCAAATTTAACATTGCTTGTTATTGTCATGCCTTCAAATGTTGATTCTCTCAAATCACAATTCGAACAGTCAATGTTGTTAAACACCAACAATTCTGCTGCTGATGTTGATGACCACGATGACAATTTGAATTTTGAATTTTTGAACGATGTATTCTGAAGATGAAGCGAACAAATTTTGAATTTTCCAATAATGCGTCTTTGAAACTTGCTCCAGTCATTGAAACAGCGATAAAAGTCGAGCTGTTCAAATCACTAAATTCAAAATTGGCTTGGCTTAAACCAACGTTTTCAAATAATGAATTTTTCAGCTCAGCCTTTAACAATCGAATACTATATAGATCGATTCGTCTAGCAAATTTCATGTCACCACCAAATTTAACATCGATCATCCTCTTACCCAAATTTTTCGTATACAAAAGTTGACTGTCGTACAAAAATTTAATTAAATACCATTTTCGTTTTGGATATATTTGTTCCAATGTCATCAATGTTTTTGCTATTTCCAGTATTGTCAGACTGATATTGTTTTTGAGAACAATCGACGACATTTCTTTCATAAATGTATCGTAGACGTTCTGTATTCGTATTTCCTTCGCATTCATGTCGTCACGTTGTTGTTGTTCTCTTGTTTTTAAGGCATCTGCTTCTCGTGCTTGTCGTTCCGTTTTTGCTACATCCGTATCTCGTTGCAACTGAGCCCTTTTTGATTCTTAAACTGTTGTTACAACGGTAAATGCGCCAATAATTAATGGAACGAGAATAGCTGAAATCAATTTAATTATTCTGATTGGTGATGAAAATTTTGTTCTCATTGGTTTCGATTGTATGTTATTTTGGAGCCCACCCGGCGTCGTTCGTGGTCGATGACGATTGAATTTGAAAGATCCAGGCATTTTTGGCTCACACTGCGTCACCCTGTCCTGCCGACAATATTTAACGATAACATCAAAAATTGTGATATTTTGTTCAACAAATGACTAGAATGTCATGCATCTGTATTCTAATAAAGAGTAATGAACATAATAAATCAATAGTTGTTTAACAATAACAGAGAGGCGGATAAAAAAGGATTGATTCATCAATGCCAACGCAAAATGCACGTGACAGAAAACATCAGATCAAAAATGAATTAGCAGAAACATCCGATTTTAGCCTATAAAAAGTAATTTTTTTTACCGTACACACTTTTCAGTCCACAGCAAACCGCGCACATGTAACTGCAGAGGATGACACGTATTCAGTCAAGTGAATTGAGTGACTTTCTTGCCAGATTATTTACGTTAACTAAATGTGATGCTTCGTCAACATTCATAACATCGATATTTAATTACCACCCAGCGGTTTACTTAAGGACGGGGGTCGATAAGAGGCAAAATCGCCCCCTCTTAGATCAAGCTCATATTCACCCGTCTGATGTAGTTTTTCTCGCTGATTAAAACTAGCACCTCAAAAAACCCATTTTCAGTCCCCCCTGGAAAAAATTCCGCACCCAAACTTTTCTCCCCTTTAATGAACTTTATGTAGAATGTTTTCCCAGTTTCTCCTCTTTCCCCAAAGAAAACCTAAACTACTGTACATCATTCGACAGAGAATTTCGCGGGCTACAAAATGATATATATAATATTGAGAGCAAATGTGGCGTGGGTGTCCTAACACGAGAAATACTAGCCCCCACCTCCACAAATCCATAGGTCAGCAGCGTTTATCGCTTATATTGTCCAACCAGTTTATCGTTAACCACGCCACTTTATATATCATTCGAGAGAGAATTTCGCGGGCTACAAAATTGCGTGAGGGGAGAAAAGTTTGGATGCGGAATTTTTTCCAGGGGGGCTGAAAATGGTTTTTTTGAGATGCTAGTTTTAATCAGCGAGAAAAACTACATCAAACTGGTGAATATGAGCTTGATCTGAGAGGGGGCCGATTTTGCCTCTTATCGACCCCCGTCCTTAGTCTAAATGGAAATGATTGTTGTGTCAATTGTTTAATGATGTTCTGAACGCAGCTAACTGAAATATTTTGATCTGTATACGTTCCAATAAGTTTTGAATATTTTCTAAGATGATGTTCGTGGCTACTTCGATTAACGCAAAATATTAATACAGCAGCAATCGTTTTTATCGGTTGAGCATGAAAACGGATATCGACTACTAGTACACCGGACACGATAATAATTATCTTTTCTCGAACCATCGATCAAACATAATTGAGACATAGATCCGAATTTGTACATTGTGCTATATAATTATTTATTTCACTAAAAAGTCGCAGTGCCATTCATCAATCGGCCGAATCGTCAATATTTTGATCTAACCAAACTAATGTTACATGTTTTTTATTTTCATGAGCTTCAGTTGCTGGGAGATTCACTGTTTCTTTTAGAAGTTGTGGACTATTTGATATCGGCTGAACACACTTCGTTTCTCTCTCTGCTAGTATTTTTTGTATATAGTGTTAATGGATGTTTATTGTAAACATCAGAAATTACATACTTTCTCAAGAAATCTCATGAATATACCTAATAGACAGTTTAGCGAACTTGTCCGATCAGTTTCTCAAAAAATTTATTTATTTGAGGTCTCATTGACAAAAACAGCCAAACCGTATTTATAAAACTTCGACGAATACTTTGCTTGCTAAGTTAAGAATGAAATCATTGAAAAAACGGAAATATTTTAAGCTCTTATATCCTTCCTTCGCATGGTCGGATAACACCCAGCATGGTTTAAAGGGTTGATTTGCCCCTGAGCACTCGTGCATCTTTCAAATTGACAAGCTTTGGCACAGTTATTTGTTTTTTATAGTATTTTTACCTTTAGATTATCCTGTATTTGTCGTTATATATAAAAAACCTTTCGTCAAAATTCAATTAAACTATTCTACTGTTTATTTTATTGTGTTTTTGGTAATTTATTTTTGGTTGCTTTATGGAAACTACTACATTGTTTAAAATTCTTCATCCGTGCACAAATATTTCTTATATATCCTCTATAGAGATGAGAAAATTTTCTATGCCCCATAGAGCACTTGATAAGTCAGAGATTAATAAGAAATTTTAATGGGCTCGCCTCTTTTAATGGGTTCGCCTCTTTTAATGGGTTCGCCTCTTTTAATGGATTCGCCTCCTTCTTAATGGGTTCGCCTCCTTCTAATCATAATTGTACTAATTTTTTCAACATTTCTTCTATTAAATAAAGTTTATAAATAAGAAATGCCGTAGACAATACATTATTATGTTTTGAAAATAAACCGTGTCCGATAATATTATCTGATATTGAGTACTATCTAATTCTAGAATCTCAATTACAATTATCATCTCAATCAATTATCATACTATTAAAAGATCCAAAAAACGTACCCATCGCTTTTAGGTAGAGTGTATTTCAAGGTGTAAAACATGGTAAAGAACTCGAATCTAGCACGAAGGAAACTGTAATATCATCGTCAAAAGTAATGTTTTCTCCATAACTGAATTTTGAGAATGAAAATAGCAGAATATTGACGAATAATAACTCTATCAGTTTCAGTTATGATATTGGAAAGTAATGGTAAGATCATAGACCCTATGTTGTAACAATCCAATTTTGCTCATTTTCGATGAGAGTGATGTTGTAATTTTGATTCATATGGGATTTTTCGACGATGACTTGCAGATAGTTTCTGTTGACTCTTTTTCGTTTGTTTTCCGACGATTAAGCACTACTTGTTCTACTTGTCGAAGTCTAGTCAATAGTTTATTCAAAACCGTGTCATTATAATGATGTGTACACGTTTGATTGTAACTATTCTTACATGTTTTACATCGTTCGATTACTTCAGGATCATTAAACGATACTCTAAAATAGGAAATTCAATAATTTGTCTCGATTTATATATAATTATGAGATGCTTACTTGCATTCTTTCACTGCTATCGTGTTCGCTAATATTTTCTTTTGTAATTCATATCGGCGCTTCATTAGTTCATGTTGATATCGTCGAGCACGTGTAGACGATGAATTAAATAATGTTATATTATATGAAAAAGTATTGGTCTTTGATCCTTTTCGATAGTGCTCTTCTTTCAGCTGTTTATGTAGCTGAGAACTGCTACGTTTTTTATACAATTTTTGTGCTGTATAAGTCTGCGTTTTTTGATGCTTTTTGATATCCAAAGTTTGTTTAGAATGATAAATTGGCAACTGAACTTTTTGCTCAACACAAACAAATAAAGAATGATCATCTCTAGGTAATAAACGTTGATCGATCTTATGATCATTTATATTTTCTCTGAATGAAACACGATGACAAGTTATTGTTCCGTAGGATGAAGGGGCAGGATAGGCTGTTGAAATTGAAACTGAAGTACTAGTCTCAATTTGTCTCTGTTGTTGTTCATCCTGAAATAATTCTGAGAATTTATTATTATCCATCAGATTTCCTTTTGACCAATTGAACCTTGAATCAAATGTATTAAATTGTATTTCACCAGGTATTGATGTTGCTTGTAGGTGTCGATCACAATCCTCTTGTTTTACTATAAGAGCATACCTATTTTGAAAAAGAAGATCGTTGTTCCACTGAATCCGATAATTTTTTTCGAATGTTCTCTATTTTCATAAGTAGGAGAAACAATAAATGCTAATTAAATAAAATTATACGAACAGAGAATATGCCTCTCTAATAGGCGATCGATTTAGATTTATTTGTAGCATGCATGTGCAAAAATAAGCCATACACTATCAAGTGATATGCAGACAGAAAACGTTATTAAAAAAGAACAACTAATTTGTGCATAAAACAAAACAGAAAAATATCAATGAATAACAAATGAATAAAAATTCTTGTAATCAAAATATAAAAGAAAAAGTAAGTAAATGGAAGGTACGATAGAAATACATATGACTGCTGTTAGCATTAGGTATGAGACATAATTTCACAACAATAATTTTCAGTATTTAAAGTACAGTGTGATACGAGAGCTAATTTTTGTTTTTTTGAAAAGTAAGGATATGTAAGGCAGTTAAAAGGTATATTCTTGCATTCATAAATTATTCACAAATAATTCAAAAAAACAATGGAGATAAATGAGATCTATATTACATATCTAATGCCAATATAGTTTAAATGCGAGAATAAGGCTGAGATTAATGAGCAGAATGAGATTTGTAAGTAAGCCATATCAAACATAATAAAAAGTTCATATGAAAAAATAAATGCAGCAACAGTTTATATTACAATTTAGAATCTTTTGCTGTTGCGTCTTTGGTTTGTTGTTGCTCTTTTGTTTCATTCATCGTCTCTATACTTGTAATTTTTCCAATTGATGCTAATTGTTCCGATAATGTTGGTATTTTTGGCTGTTGCGGAGGTGGTGGTGGTTGAGGTTTTTCCAAGGGTGTTGATGTTGTTTGTATTTGATCTCTTGTTGCTGTAACATTTGATTTTGCTCGTCTATTTGACGGTGTTCGAGTTGTTGTTGTTGCCATTGCCGCTGCTTGTGCACTCTTTTGACTTGCTGTTGCTTTTCTTAATTTAGCACGTGCTTCGGTTTCCAATTGAAATCCATGATGTTTTGTTCCCCGTTTCTCTTTTTCATCGTTGTTTTCCGAATCAGAACCATGAACTTGTTTCTTTTTTATACGACGTTTTTCATACTACAAGAAAACGTGAGATACATCTAACATGTATTAGAAGGACTTTTCTGTTCACCTACATCTCGAACTAAAACTGCAACAAAAATACCGTTCATTTTTTGAGATGCTTCAAACTGTAAAAATTTTTCATGACGTATAATTTTTGTGTGTTCACCCATACTAATTTGAATAGGTATAAGAGGTAGAGCAATTCTACAATGAAAAAACCTTAAAAGAATCTTAATATTTGAAGGTCAAAGATAATCACTTGTAATTATTTCCATCTTTCTTCTGTTGTCGAATATCGGCCTGTTCACTAATTGTCACATTGACAACATCATCGTTTTCTTTTACATATTTAGAATATGTCACATACACAACAGCTTTAGCTGAAGAATCTAATACAATAAAAAAAAAAGTAGACTTTAAAGTCGCTCAATAGTTGGACATTCAAAAACACTTACATTTAACAGCTTGTCTCATGTAAGCCGTTTCTCGTTGCATACATTCTTTGATATACGCTTTGTCTTCTACTGGTTGTGAAAAATTTTTTAACAACGAAACATCTATCTTATTATAAAACAAAATATTTGTTTATTTCAAATATTAACTCAAAATGGAAATTTTGATGTGTTTCTACCTTCTCCTTCGTTATACAAAAAATCCAGCGGTTGAATCAAAGCAGAACGTGAACATGGTGGATTACATAGAATGACTTTAATATTTTCCAAATTTACTTCATCCAAATTAACATCAATAAATCGTTCTTTAAAAATTTTTACACCTAAAAAAAATGAAGAGTTAAATGTAAGAAAATTAAAATTACATTCTAAAATATCCATACGTTTTTCAACACCAAACTGTTTCATTTTGTCTTGTAAATCTCGCATATTTTCATCGGTTCGAGCACCAAATGCATAAATTTTTGATTCTAATTCATTTGTTAATGAAATTAATAACTGAATAAGTAAGCCTTTGAAAATAAATTAGGTAATTGTCCTCTATCATAGCTCAATATCATATGATATTATTTTGTGAACTTACCTCCGCTAACATATGCAACGAGAATATTATCTTTTTTGGTAAGAAGTTTAGCCACAGTTGTTGCTGCAATGCAACTTGATTTATCCTAAAATTTAAACAATAAAAAACATGTCAAACACATTCATCTACCATTTTTTACTCACTTGTAAATACAATAGACCATTTTTAACTAATCTATGATTTGAAATACGTTGTTTTTGAGAGTAATGAAATATTAACAAATTTGGACAATGAAAATCGACCATGAATGTTTTTCGTTGAACATCATTGATGGAGTAAACACGTGTCATTTGTTCTTCATTTTCAAATATTTGTAGAATCGTCTTAATATCAGTTTTAAGCAAATTCACCCAACTGTAAACAGGCAACTCGGCGCCATGTTGCTGTACTTCTCTTAAACTTTCGGGTAATAATTCTTCAATCGATAGTGCTTGGGCTTTAATTCGATTTCGAGCTAATGCTGCTGCCAGATGTGTTTTTAGTTGTAATATTGAATTTTCTGTTTGAGTAATTAAGACATCATTGTTCGGTTCATTTACATCCGGTGGATTGTCACGTACTTGGAATTTTCGACTCAAATAATCGTACAAAACCGTGCATACAAGACTATATTCATCACGTAAATCAGGAAATGTAGCAAAAAATTGAGTTTCATCTAACAAATCTTCGACAACTTTCTGATATCTTAAAACACTAAATGCTAATTTTAGAGTACGTCGTTTTTCTTTTTCATTTGCGTAATCAATTTTAGGCACATCTAATATCTTTTTTTTGGGTTGTTGTTCTTTATTCTCATTTGCTAATACGTTTAAAATAGGATTATCAGTGAGATCTGCTTTTAAACAATGAAATATTCTACTTGCATAACGATAAATTGTTTGTGTATATTCACTTGGCTCTTTTCGAAATAATTCTTCTAATAAAGCTCGATTTATCGATGAATGACGATTGAATAATTGACCAAATTCACGCATTCGTTTTAAATCATGTTCGGTGAATGTTTTACCAGCATCATCATTCACTGTTGTTGATTGTTGATCACCGATAGCGTAATTGGTGGTATTTGAAAATGTGGTGACAGATGTCGATGTTGTCTGTGGAGGAAACCGGGACATCGTAAATTAGTACACAACAAGAAAAAACAGAAAAAAATTAATCCTTCAAGTTAAAAATAAACAGTTTAAGGATGCATGTGAGCTAAAATCTAAAATTGTTAGTCTTTTAATTTTCATCATACGCGATAATTTTAAGTAGTAATGGAAATCACTTGTATTATTTCTTCGAATTTATTTAATGTGTGACAAACGAACATTTTTTTAACAAGAACAACTTCATCTATATTGTACCCTCTTTTGAAAACTGCTAATATGCAATTATACCTTAAACTATTTGATAATTCTTCAGATTAGATACGTCTGTTCATTTATATATTGCTAATTTACTTTTTGTTACCATGCATCATCCATTGTCAAGTACGAAACCTCAATAAAGATCAACGTCAAATACGATTGCAGTGCTCCTTACAAACACATCAAACAACGACAGGTATTAAATATTAGAAATCAAATCATGTTTTGTTAGTCAATTAACTATATCAAAAAGATTTATGCATAAGTAATTGTTTTGTAAACGAGTTGAAACTAAGATTAGAAAGACATATGATTGCCCTGGTATTGTACAACTGTACTCCAGAACTTGAAATATGTATAACTCTTCCTCCATTCAATAAAATTTCAAAAATTTGTCTTTGCTTTGTAGCTCTGTTTACACCATCTACGAAAAAAATCACACTTTTATTTATTGCGGTTGTTGAGCTATAGGGACGAGAACAATAAAAAACACCGATTTCGGGCCGCATCGACCATAATTTTCTACTGAATTTTCAAGAGCCGATCGTTTTACAGCAGTTCGTAGCTGACATTTAGGATTATCAAATACCAAGAGTGAATGTTCCGATCGGTGTTAACGATGTACCCTAGTGAATGTACTCAAGTGTGAGTACTCAAAGTCGTACTCTGCTGAAAAATGTCCCGAATACTCATAAGTACTCACACATTTTTTTACTCATTGAGTACTCATGAGTGAGTAACGAGTGCTGTGGGCACGGCTTTGACTACTCACGCTTGGGTATTGTTGAGTACTCATATAACTTTTGGCAAAATACTCATGAGTATTGTCCATCTGATATTTTCATATAGAGGAGTGATCTCAGGCAGCCAGAGTAGGACTACAAGTCTAGTCCATCCCTGAATATATACAGACAGAGATGGGCGAGTACGAGTACTGGACGTCGAGTATTTTCTAAAAAGTACTGGAGTACTTTTCAGAAAATACTCGAGTACGAAACTTTTTAAAAGACGAAAATACTCATGAAAAAAGGTTTAGCTGCCTAATAATAGCCATTTTCAATATCTTTCTGGCTATCAGTTGAAGGAGAATTAGGTTCTAGTCTTAGTTTTTTTATTTTACTGTTTATTATTTATTTGTTTTACTTTATCTGAACACACAAAAATGAAACATTATTCTAGAAGATCGTTATTGCATTTTAAAAATGTTAACACGCATAACGTTGATGCTGATAATATAACTTTGAACGATGTGGGCGGATGATAAAGCCGCTTTAAGAAAAAATTCTTTCTATTGGTGCAGACGTTGCAGGACAGTAAAATATTTTAGAGCTAATTTTGATAGATGAGGATATGATTCATGTGTCGTTAAAATAAGATCGTTGTCCATTCTTTGTTCTTTACCAAAATTTTCTAGCTCTTCTGATACAATTGATTTGATATTTAATATTCTTTTAGATGGATTTTCAAGATAAGGAAATAATTTTCAGAGTTTTCGTTTCCCACAGACCGGAGAATCCGCTGCATCACTTGTTTGTTGTTCCCTACTTGTGTCAGTTAATGTTTCTTTTCCTATATCTCGCCGAGTATCTTGACTGTCAACTAAAGAAATTAATTTTTTAATTTTTTCTACTGTATCCCTTTTTATATCATCCGATAAACCGATATCATTCAGCCAGTGGAATTTGATTCGTGCATCTAGGGTTGGTGTTAGAAGAAATATTAGATCAGCAAAACGTTCAGCCATCACATATCGATCATTTGGTACATCAACAGCAAATTGTCTGAGTAGATCACTGAATCTTACTTTCATAGATGATAATAGGCTTGCTCTCATATTTTTCAAGTGATCACACCTTTTGCTATTCGATGAGTGAACAATTGAAAGGATACAAGGCGCTACACAACTAATAGTAGTATGATTTTCACCTTGTGCATCCATTGTTGCTTCTTCAAATAATTCTAATAGTTGTATAAATTCCATTAATACTGTTTTATCGGTTGATGAGAGAATTAATTCAGATTTTATTAAATCCTAAACAATTCACATATCCCTAGAGAAAGTACTGAGTTCAAGGTACCCATGTACTGAGAAAGCCTCAGCAAGGTACCCGATATGGGTACTTCGAAAATTCTTAGTAATTATACTAATGTAGGTACTGTATTGGGTACCCATAGCAGTATGTTTACTGAACAAGTACTTGTATG